GTTTATGTAACATACATGTTTCTAACCCTGATTTAACAAACATATACCATACTGAAGTATTTCTCTTGAAATATGCAGGTCTTTTATTTCCTCCTTTCTTATTTCATAAAATCTCAAATTTTGTTTCCTTTCTAAGCTATACTGCTTAGAAAGGTCTGCCTTGGACCCCATTCACTAATGTTTATTACTAAAAACTGTCACCAGTATACCATTTTATGTATAGCACTGTGAGTACTAAATACCAAATCTACTATATAGATCCCTTGGAAAGCAGTGTATCAAAGTTCCTGTACTGAGATACTGAAATTCAGTCACACATGATCTTTGATTCCTCATTCTATATAATTCAATTAAATATTTGTGTTAAATCTGAAACTTAATATAGGACTCTAATAAGATTTCTTTTCTTCAGAATAAAGCTGAGGAATATCTGCACTTAACAATCCTGACAGACTCGTTACAGACATTTTTTTTTTTTCCACTTTCATTCCAAGGAGAAATAAGTAAGTTTACATAACTGACCTGGCCATTACTTAGAGCAGGTCACAGCGCCCCCCTGCTGGCTCCTGCCTCTGGGGCTGAACCACAGGTCTCACCAGTGGAGCACCCTTAAGAAGTTTTGGTATTTACCTGCTTTGCGTTCTTTAGATTCTATAAAAGGGTCTTTTATTTTAATAGGATTTTCTTGATGTTGTTTGGCTTGGGAATCTGGGTAACAAGTAAAGCCACGCCTTTAAGAATCTTTAATCCATAATTGTTTTTAACTGTAGGGGTTGAGGACTGATAGATTTGATTTGTTATTTTTCTTTATGCCACTGTTCCTAAATTGTGAAACATGATTGTATTTTATAAAGCCAAACCTAGTTTGCTCTGTTAAGAGATTTTGGAGTTTAGCAGCCTGATTTAGTCTAAAATGTTTTACCATCTGCACTTATTTTTTCTGTGTTATCATCATGATTACCATCCTTTCTTTGTCCCTTCCTGCTAAAGATCCATTTCTCTTCCCACAAATTTCACTTCTCTGTAATCAAACACAGTACTTTATCTCCTTTCATTTTTTTCCCTAAATCCCCACATTATCCAAGACCTAGCTTGTCGGTATCACCTTTTTCATGAAAACTTTCCCAAGTTTTAAGTCCTACTAATGTCATTCTATTCTAATAGCAACCCTTCTTCCTTAATCATTTAGTTGAATTTGATAATGCTATCCCTTTTTTGGGTAACCAACCTCCAGAATTCTAACAGGCATGTAACATACATTATTTCTGTTCTTAGCAGTTGGGCAGGGCAGCAGTTATTTTCCCCATTAGACAGATGAGGAAACCAAGGTCACGAGAATTTAAGAAACTCTCCCAGGAGTCTGCCTGCCTCACTCTGTGACTTTCCGATCTACACTCTGCAGAGCCATGATCCCCACCTCTCACTGTAACGCTCGGTCATGCATCCCTGGTGACCTAGTACTGTTTTCTGGTTATTTACCAAGTAGAAGACGTAAAAAATAGGTCTGTTGAACATGAACCAAACAAATGAAATAAAGGGACCCCTACATTTGTAAATGGAGTTGTGTTTTTAAACTGAGAATGATTTATACCAGCCCAGCTCCTTAAGAGTTGTATGGCTTCTGATGATTTAATCTAACAAACTATGTCACGATTTAGTCATTTTCTCGAAATCTCATTATTTATACCTCTTTTTCACTTTTCTCATAACTCCTCCTCATTCCAGAGTAGATTCTTCCAGGTGGCCAGTTCAGCAGCCTTTTTCCTCCATAGTTTTCCTTGAGCCTTCCCAAGAAATGTTTCTGTGGATATTCCTGAAATGGCTGCTTATAGGCATGTCTTTAAGAAGTAGTTTTGGGGCCCTTGGGTAACTCAGTCGGTTGAATGTCCGATGGTTTTGGCTCAGGTCATGATCTCAGGGTCATGGGATCAGGCCCTGCATTGGGCTCCACACTCAACGGGGAATCTGCTTGAGATTCTCTTCCCTCACCGTCTGCCCCTTCACTCACACATGTGCCCTCTCTCTCTCTAAAAAAAGAGAAAGTAGTCTTAATAATGTCTTTCCTATTCTGTAATGATTCAAAAGAACAGAGAAATATTAATTTTGCTTAAAGCTTAATTTTGAAATATGTCTTTATGTTGTCTAGTTTAGCCCTTTATTTCAAATCTGTTTACCCAGAGTATTCCATCTGGCAGTCAGTAAGAGCACATTTATTTCTAGACCCTCCAGTGTATCAGGTGCCATTCTAGGCATTGGGAACCCAAATACAAACAAGCCAACTCAGGCCTTGAGGAAATCAGTTTTGACACTGAAACAGAAGAGCACATCTCCCTCTCAAGCACCTCATAACCATCTCTCTACCTGCTCCTGATTTGGGTTATAAAATTTATAGAATTATAAATTAAACAGAGGCTGAGAACCATCTTTTTTTTTCCCTGACATGGAAACTGAGGCACAGAGAGTAGGTTAAATGACTGGAAGTCAGACAGAAAGATTTAAACCCAGACCTTCCAACTCCCAAACTGATAGCCTTTCTGCAGTCATTTGTTATATTAGTTTGTCATCTTCCTTCACCACGATGATCTGGATTTAAGGCCTCAAATTAGGCAGGAACTCCACTGTAGTTAGGGTCTTATATTTAAATTGAGAATTCTATTATAAAGGAAAGACCATCTTGGAAATACGTAGACATATAGACAAGTCACATCTATCTCATCCATCTAGGCTTGCTGCATTGACACTTAGAAAACACAACCAGGTACTACTAAGGTCTTTTTATTTATGCTCCATTAGCATGCATAGTGTTACAGCAAAACAAAATTCTCTGACCTCGTGGGACTTACATTCTAGTCAAGGGAAACAAAACAATAAGCTTTATAGTATGTCAGATGGTGAGAAGTGCTACGGACCAAAAACAAAAAGGGACCTTAGTGGTCTAAGAAAAGGAACAAGGGGACTAATTAAAAGACTCCTGCAATAGTTCAGATGAGAGGATGGCCCTTAAACTAGAGATGCCAGTGGAATGGCGAAAAGTGGTCATTTCTGGTATTCTGAAGGTAGATCCAAGAGGATCTCCTGACAGATTGGATATTGGGCGGGAGAGTAAGAAAGTCAAAGTTGACTCCTAGACTTTGGGCATGAGAGATTGGAAAGGTAACAGTTGCCATGTACTTAGCTGAGTCATGAATTCAGTGGCATCACTGTATGTGGTTTCAGAAATACAAGATACATGAGAAATTTCTCCCTCAAAATGCCTGCAGTCTAGTAAACAAGACAGACATAAATTCATGCACCCAATTATACTTCTTGTTTATTATGATGGGGGGTCTCAGCAAAGTGCTGTAAAAGTACATAGGAGAGAACAATGATCTCTAGCCAGGGAAGTGAGGAGAGATTCAAAGTAGAAGTTATGTCTGAACCCAGTTTACCATTCTTCTTGAGTTAGACATTACATGACTTGAGCTTAGAAAGATAAATTGGGGGCGCCTGGTGGCTCAGTCATTAAGCGTCTGCCTTCGGCTCACGTCATGATCCCAGGGTCCTGGGATTGAGCCCTGCATTGGGCCCCCTGCTCCTCGGGAAGCCTGCTTCTCCCTCTCCCACTCCCCCTGCTTGTGTTCCCTCTCTCACTATGTCTCTGTCAAATAAATGAATAAAATCTTCAAAGAAAGATAAATTGTATTATGTTCACAGAGCTAGAACAATAAAGCAGTAAAGCAGGCTGGTAGTTATTTTTTGATTCTATGTCAGACCACAATTACACGACTGACCAGAAAGAAAAGTCAAAATCAAGTACTCTTTCCAACCTAGGACTGTACGTACAAATATGTACTATTTTCCATTGCAGGAGCCTTCTTCCTTTATGCTGGATTCGCTGGCGTGGGACTCCTTTTCATCTATGGCTGTCTTCCTGAGACCAAAGGGAAAAAATTAGAGGAAATTGAATCACTCTTTGATAACAGGTTATGTACATGTGGCGCTTCAGATTCTGATGAAGGGAGATATATTGAATATATTCGGGTGAAGGGAAGTAACTATCATCTTTCTGACAACGATGCTTCTGATGTGGAATAATTTTCAGCTGCTGATATATTTAGGTATTTAAACAAACCTGGGGGACAAAAGCAGCAATTGGTGACCTCAATGCCCTGCTTTTAATCTCGTTCTTTCCACAGTCTAGTTTTGAATGACCTCATCTTCTAGAATACTTGATTAGGAGGACGATACAACCATGATGACATTTTTTTTCACAAGCAGAAATGTAAAACAATATTTAGAGATTTTAAACTAATAATTATTGAACAAATGTATGTAATTCCTTCCTGAGGTAGTCTAAAATGAATATTGTATCCAGTGACTTCAGTGGTATTTTTTTCCTAAAACCATATATAATTATTAGAGTCAGTGCTAATCTAGCTTAATCGTATATGTAGGATATACTTATGAAGAAGGATTCTGGAATAAGATCCAAGGGTGTTTTCTGTCAAAACAAGGCCCATTGGCCCTAAATTTTCCTAAGGACAAGTAGCTTATCTGTGATCAGCTATTAGAAAGTAAATTCTATTTAAGCTTTCAACAAATTCAAAAGTGCCTCCCACAGAGGCACGGTTGTCCTTATCTCCTTTGGATTCCACATTTTGGTCTCTCTCTCCAAATCAGATCTTTAGAGTTCTTCAGAAGCTGACTCTACACAGGACCTTTTGAACATTATGAAAAGCAGGTCTTTTAGGGTTTATTTTCATACATATTTTTTGCATTGGTGATAAGTATCCATTTGCACAGATAAGCTAGCAAGTTTTTTTGTTTTTTTTTTAATTTTTTTTTTATTAAGCTAGCAAGTTTTGATAAGTATATTTTATTGCTAGAAAGTAAGAAAGAAAACATTTTTATGGATCCCTGATTTGAGTTAGTTACTTAGGTATGCAACTGTAAACACAAAATAGCACCAGATCTTCAACGATATTTCAGGGTTTCTGTTCATACCAAAATCACCTTATACTCACCACGCCTTCACTCATAGCCTCTGGAGTCCTACTAATTTGTGCCTTCATTTGTTTTAATATAAATAGCTGCTAGCAGACTATTTTTCCCTTTCTTTTAATCAAATAATTCCTGAAACAAAAAAGAAAGAAAGAAAATCAGTGACAGATAATCCTGCTGTTACTGATGTTTTAAATAGTGAGACTTATTTTTTCCTTAGCTTTTTATTAACTCTTAAAAGTACTAGTCTTTTCTTACTTTAAGAACATAAACTCGTTTTTATTTTGCACACCCTTTTCTCATTTTCCTTGACAATTTATCAAAAAAAGATACAGATTTGTCTGTGGGTGTTTCCTTTTTCTCATACTTGGCTTGGATTTTTTTCCTTCTTGTCTAAAAATTGGGGTTTTCTATTGGAACAGATTAATGGTTCTAATATAGCATACATTTCTACAGTGTCTTCTCAAAGTGTTCATTGGTTTTTATGCTCGTTAATCAATGAACTCTAATTTTTACTCTTAGGAACTATACAGAATATACAAAATTACTTGCTAGTTCCAGTGAAAATATGAATGAATCGTCTGTGGCCAGATAGGAATATATAAGTTTGATGGATTTTAAGGTGCTCTTTGGAGTGAAAAGATGGCTATCTCTAAATTCAATGTGTGTTTCTGCCAGTCTCCAAGATGTTTTGTCCTTTGCTTGAAGTCTGGCTTATTCCTATCACTATTATCAAAACTGAGAATGTAGCCAAGGAGGTTTGTTCTCATAGCCACCGGGGGTATGATCAGTGCTTGAACTGTCACTTTACTGGCCTAAAAATCCTTCAGCTAAAAAAAAAAAGTTTTCTCCTTTTGATCATTTCATACAATAAAAAAAATTGAGTTTTTTTCCCTGAATTAGGTGCTTTGACAATTGATTTCTAAGGGTATATTAATATTGATTTTTCCCCCAGAAAAGCAGATGTGACTTAATATGAGAAAATTATTGATATTTCTTATCCCATAAAAATTTCTTATCTGTGTAATACTTCACACAAGTGAAGTGGAAAATGAGCTATTATGTGGTAAAATCAGAATATGATGGGAAGAAAAAATATTTAGACCAATAAAGTGCTCTCTAAAAATGTATTTTTCTGATTTATCCAAATAATTGCCTCTATTCTTCCCTTTATTATATACATAGCCTTAACTCTATGCTTCTGTACTCAGCTGGGCTGAATGCACAGTAACTTTATTAAAGGAGCAACTGGACTTTTATTATTTCCTAAAGCAGAACATGGCCTGTTCTCCCTGACATAAGCAAACGGTATATTCAACTTTATATCCATAAATGCACAGAGTAACAGGGAAAATTAGCCACAGTTCTCCTCCCCTATTCTCCTCAACCTCTCCTTTAAAGGACTATTTGTTATTTATATAGTGATAAAGACAATATTCCTTATCTTTGAAGTACAAGACAGAGTGGCACAGTATAAAGATTATTTATAATTTTTTTAAAAACAACTACTTAAAAAGAAACCTTATACAATTAGAGTATTATTTTTAGATTTGGTGAACCTTTATAGTATATTTAAAAATTAAGCGTTTGAATTTTGCAGGTTTTTTTATATTATGTACCTTTTAAGTTCTCAGCATCTTTGGCTACCACTATCAACTGGAAAACATTCCATTTGACATATCATCAAATATATATTTTGTAGGACAATTTATATATGGTATGATTTGAACTACCATATTAAAACAGATTAAGCATCACGCTTTTAACTGAAATTAAGTTTTCCTTCTAAGCATGCTGCACATTCAATAGAGACATATTATGTTTTAGGAGCACATAGTAAAGAAAGTCATAACCCCTATTTGAGGCTTAGCTTGGTGGCTGATGAGATCTGCCATAGACTAAAGAGAATATAACCCTTTATCTGCATTTGAACACATAGGTCTGAATGTGATGTCAGATAAATTTTAAAGATTTGGTATTAATAGTTTTCTTCAATACAAACATTCCTAATAATTTTGACTGTTGCACCTTAGTCGTTAATTACCCAAAACATGATTTTTAATGTATTTGTAAAAGATCTAAATCAAAACTAAATTTAAACGGTAATACTTCCATATGCTGTCAAGTGCTTTTTCATAATTTTACCACTGAGCTAGATTTTAGTATATAAGAATCTAAATATTTTTTAAATTATTCACTCTAAAATGAGAATTCCATTAAAGCAAAAAACTTAGAAGTTGTTTACTATCATTTCAAAATCCATAATCTAGAGAAAGTGAACAGGAAAAATGTAAACTGACAATTTACCCTTTTGCTTTATATTGGAAAGTAAAATTGAAATGTAATCATAGATTCTAGGGGGAGGATATTCTAAAAAAACATTATATCTTATCTAAGAAAGTCACAACTTAATGACACTAATACAATTTAGAAATATTGTCATGCAATTAGGGCGAATGGAAGGATTGTTTTATCGGCACAGTAATTAAGAACAATTAATGAGATTTTTGTTATAATCAGTTTTGTTTTGTTTTGACCACTCTCCTGGTTATAAAATCTCAAATTATACTAAGCACCTTATAGCTTTCACTTATACAGCTTGTTGCAACAAGTTTTCAGTTTATATCTTTTTACTAACTGCAAATAAAACAATGACCTAGCAGGCCCATGGCAGAGAATTCATAACATGTGCTTTACAGCAAAATCTATTAAATAGTGGATGAAATGTATAGCTCACGTATAGCTGCTGCTTATGAAAAGACTTAGAATTCTTCTCTGGATTATTTTTAATGTCCTGTTTTCTGTCACTTTTCTTATCAATTTTCTTAGCCTCATGTACAGAAATGTTAAGCTAATTTGATGAAGTGATCAGGTGGTAGCAATGTATTAATTATCAGTACACTCAGTTCTTATGGGTGAGAAATGTTGTTTTCTGGAAATAGCAATCATTTTAAAATGCCAAATAGCTAACTGCTATCAACTCTTTTTACGTTATCTTTTAGGGAAATATTTGTATACCAATACTCATTGAAGAGCTCTTTTGTAAGAGTGTCAATGATGGTCAGAAGTACATGAGAGAATTTTATCCTCTTAATTTGCCTGTGAGTGTAAAATGGTGTAATTTCCTATAAATCTTTATATGTATAAAGCAGTCTTGCACTTGAGTGATTTGGTCTATGAAATGCTCAATAACTACTTTCATTTAGTAGTAATATTCATATATTTATTTCACAGTTCATGTGTTTGATTTTTGTCATGTCAGTATGAGAAAAAGGAATGCAGCTTACAAGTACTTAAACACCTATATTTTGTGAAGTTTTACAATTTTAGTAAAATTAACATCATTCCATCTCACTTGAAGGTTAAAAAAAAAATGAGACTTAACTCTAGCCAAAGTAGAACTTTATATTCTACATGTCCAAACTGGTTCCTAGCAGCTTTTGGACTGTATCTCATTTGATGTTATAGTATCTTTATTTGTAATAAATGTTCAAATTTCTATTTAGAAGCTCTAATGTACATCTAGATTAAAAGTTTTATGCTTTTAAAATATGTATTTCAAAATGTATATTTTAATTTGAGTGCATGGTATATAGTATTTAATATTTCCCATGTCTTGGAAAATTCAATATAAATATTTATTCTTACATGTGACATATGGGATCTCTCTTAAAAATTATGAATATGTATCATTTCCTTCAAAGTCATTCTAGCCTATAGCTGTATCAAAAGTATTGTATATTTTATGGAAATTTAGTGATGTATATGTAAATTTTTTAAGTTATTTTATTGAAGTTCAATCTTTACATAAAATTAAAATCTTTTTTTAAAAAAAGTGTCAGTGCCAGAACTGTAAATGAAAATAATCAAATAAAAGTTATGACAATTCATTAGTCATTTATCTCCTTTGCACTTTTGTATTTTCTCTAATTCTCTTCCTTTGATTTTAGGATCTAGGTTACCCAGGAAAGGCATCTACAAAATTAGTTATCTCGTTATCTCTATATATTTATGCAGTCCTCATTTTAATGATATTTTACCTCTTTTAATAATGGGTAAACTCAACTATTTTTTTTTTTTTTTAAAGATTTTAGTTATTTGACAGAGAGAGAGAGACACGGCAAGAGAGGGAACACAAGCAGGGAGAGTGGAAGAGGGAGAAGCAGGCTTCCCGCCGAGCAGGGAACCCGATAGCGGGGCTCGATCCCAGGACCCTGGGACCACGACCTGAGCTGAAGGCAGGCGCTTAACAACTGAGCCACCCAGGTGCCCCTCAACTATCTTTTAAAAATAAATATATAATACCCAAAAATTGTTCCAAGGAATTATTCTAAATAGTAAATATAAAACTTTGAAATGAAGTGCTTTAGGAACCCTTGAAATATTATTTCTGGTTGTTGTCAAAACAGGTGTGACAATGGGGCACCTGGGTGGCTCAGTCAGTTAAGTGTCTGCCTTTGGCTCAGGTCATGATCCCAGGGCGCTGGGATCGAGCCCAATATCGGGCTCCTTGCTCCGTGGGGAGCCTGCTTCTCCCTCTCCCTCTGCTGTCCTCCCCCTGCTTGTGCTCTCTAAAATAAATAAATAGATAGATAGATAGATAGATAGATAGATAAATAAAAAATAAATAAATAAATAAATAAATAAATAAATAATAATAAATAAATAAATAATACATACATACATACATACATACATACATACCAGGTGTGACATAAGCCATTATGTTGGGTTGACAAAAACTGTATTTGCTTTGTAAATAACACAAAATACCTGCTGGATGACCTGTTGACATTTCCTTTTGGAATTCTATTGCTCTCCATTGTCATTTTGTCCTAACTGTAGCTTTTATTAGCGAGAAATTATCTACTATTTGATCTGGGCAACTGTTAGACTTACCTCCATAGTTAGTTAGGGTGTGCCATCCTGAGCCCAAATGTAGAAACAGCCTGAGGAGATCCCATAAAGACACTAGATCCACTTGTCCAAAGGCTTACCATATGGGGGTCTCATGTCTAGGTGGTTTCCCCATGCACACAAAATTAAATTTTATTTTCTCCTGCTTAAAAGAAAAAAAAGTGGAGTTGCATTTAATCAAGGATTCTGATGCCAGCAACTAAGATAAAAATCCTACAGTCAGAATGACCCAAAGAAAATCCCATAAATTACGCATAAAGGGTCTACTCACCAGGACACCTAAATATTGCAGTACATATTTGCATCAGTGGTCAAAGTCCTCATTTAACTATCCAGTTCTGTGGGGTAAACATTGTAGTGCTTTTATGGGTACTAAACTTAAGTTCAGAACATTTTGATGACTTGCCCAAGATCACAAACTAGGAAGTAGTACAGAACTTCTCTCTGTGTGGACTACACCAATAGTCGTCTCTCCGTCATCATTTGGAATGTCTTCTGGTCAGACCTAGGCAGAAAGACTACAAAATAAACATTGTGGAATTCCTGTGTTAGTTATTACTTAAAAGGTATGCAGAGGAAGAATCAGACACCTCACTTTAACCTGGTCTATGGACACAAATTCTGAAGACCTTTGGAGCTTTTTCTCCAAATAGTACATTGTTTAAGGAATCAGAATGAATACAAATTGCCAGCTTTGAATCCCAGCTTTTCTACTTACTGCCTGGTAACCTAAATTACTGACTTACTCTTTGCCTCAATTCCTGTCTATAAAGTAGAGATGTTACTATCTACCTCATATATTTGTTATGGGGGTTGCATTAATCATCTAAAGCACTTAGAGCAATAGCACGTAGTAAGTGCTGGGTAACTGTTGGCTGTTCTCAGTGTCATCCTGCACATGCTAACCCTGATGCTAAGGTCGCACTGTCCAAAGCACAAGCAATGTGTTTATAAATTCCTTTCCTGAGAACAACTACTGGGGGCAGGAGCACACAGGCTTGACATATGTCATACAGGGTGTATGACGGCAGCAGCCAAGCTCCTGCTGACCAGAATGGTTTGCGCTGATATGGCTGACTAGCCTGATGTTCCTCTTCCCTTCTCCACCTCTTTCCCTTGAGCATCCTCCTGAATGGCACAGTTAATGAAAAGCACAACCTTCTCACAATCTCCAGATTAACAGGATTTAGTACACAGTTTCTCTGTGTGTGATCTCTGAGTCAAGAAACAAAAATAATTTTAGAATATCTCTTGGTAACCTATCATTTAAATTCCTTTTAGCATTTAAAAAAATAATTTTCGAAATTCTCTCCAAATGCTCTAAAAAGGGGAAAAGGGGGGCAGCATCTGGGTGGCTCAGTCATTTGAACATCCAACTCTTGATTTTGGCTCAAGTCTTGATCTCATGGGTCGTATAAGATGGAGCCCACATCAGGCTCTGCACTCAGCTGGGAGTCTGCTTGAAGATTCCCTCCCTCCCCATACTCGTGTGCTCATGCGCTCTCTCTCAAATAAATCTTTAAAAAAAAATTCTCTCCAAATGAAAAATGACATTAACCCTTCACTAAGTGGCTATATTGAAATTAAGCTATTATAAATGCTATGAATTCAACCTGAAACATTGATACTATTTTTACCTTTGATATTTCATACGCTTTTCCACCACATTTACAAAAACTGCATGATGAGCAGCCTGCAGAGCAAATTAATTTTTTACATGAAAGAAGATACTGACATGGTTCACTTCTAGCAAATGAGTACTAAACCCAAAACAGATTTGTTAGAACAGTGGTTCTCAAAGCATGGTCCTCAAACTAGAAGCCCTGGCATCATCTGTGAGTTGTTACAAATGCAAATCTATGGGCCTCACCTGACCTACTGAATCAGAATATCTGGGGATATAATCCAGGAAACTATATTTTTAATTGAAATATAATTGACATATAACACTGTATAAGGTATACAATGCATTGCTTTGATGCACATATTGCAAAATGTTTACCACCATAGTGTTAGCTAATACCTCTACCACATCACATAATTATCCTTTCTTTTTTGTGGTAACAATACGGTCTCTTAGCTACTCTAAAGTTTATTAATACAATACTATGGTCTATAATCTCTATGCTGTGCATTAGCTTTCCAGGACTTGTCTACTAGTTTCAAATCTGTACCCCTAAACAACATCTCCCCAATCCCCACACCCCACCCCCCAGTCTCTGGTAACCACCATTCTACTGTTTTCACAAGTTCAGCTTTTTTAGATCAGGGAACTGTATCTTAAACTCTCCAGATGATTCTTAAGCACACAATAGTTGAACCACTACACACAATTTTTTAAATCATCACATTAAAAAGGAATCCGCTGCATTTTCTTTCAAATGGTGAGCTCATCTAGTGAATAATAAACTAAGTGGATTTATATGCAAGTTACTTAGGGATTCATAAAGCTAAGTCATTTCCACCCAGAGGCTTAGCATGTGGTGTTACATCTGCCTGGCATGCTTGTTGCCCTATTCTTTGTGTCTCATTCCTTCTTGTCATTCAGGTTTCAGCTCAAAATCATCTCCTCTGAGAGCCTGTCTTGACTATTCAATTTAATCACTCCTTTCCTCCCCAATATCATGTAAACTTGTTTTATTTTCTTCCTAGTATTTATCACTATTTGAAAATTATTTTTTAGTTCTTATCTGTTTCTCCCATGAGAATATACACTGCATGAAAGCGGGGAATTTGCACTATTCACTACTGACTCTCCACCTCATACAGTGCCTAGCATATAGTATGTGCTCACTAAATATTTAAAGAATAAATGGATGCATGCATCTCAGGTGCTCCTGTGGCCTACAAAGGAGTAGTGGGAAGTTTTAACTGGGCTGGAAAAAAATGATTAAAATAATACCATATTACCAGGCCAATATCAGCATGTTTCATAAATCAATCTCTGTATAGCAAAGCTGTTTTAATCAAACAGCCAATTCCATATGCTATATGAAGACATGTATATTCACATAAACACATCTGGATGATAAGTTTGGTTTCTTATTCCTATTAGAGGAGGAGAATATCTAAATAGGATAGCAAGGTTGGGGTGAAATTTGCATCTTTTATAATATTCTATTTCTACATTTTTTTATAGAATAAAAACACACTTATATGCTATATACTTTATACACATTATTTTATCTTCAGGAAACCCTGTATCAAAAGTAGCATTATTACCCTTATTGTATGGATGAAGAAATAATTGAGTCACAGGAAGTAACTTAAGTAGAACAGAAAGGTCAGTTTGTGCCAAAGTCATTTTTAACAAGTACTAGTAATTTCCTTTTTTACAATGAACTTTATCATGGAAAATTTTATAACTGTCTCTACCTGAAAATATTTGTACTTTTTTTTCCTGCAGGGTCACTGGTTATGGACTTAGAAACTAAAACATAACTACTGGATAAAACTGACAATAACATTTAGAGGTAAATGTGAAAAGGTCGGAATTTAAAGTCTAAAATGATCAGTAATTTCCAAAATATGCCCAAATTTACAAATTAACCCACAGAATCCTAATAAGCTTCCTTGCTCTGAAGTCTGCTTTGTCTGAAATTAATTTAACTATTCCAACTTTCTTTTGATTAATGTTAGCATGGTATATCTTTCTCCATCCCTTTACTTTTAATCTGCATGTGCCTTTATATTGAAAGTGAGTTTCTTAAAGATAACATATGGTTGGGTCTTGTTTTTGATCCACTGACAATTTGTTTTTTATTGGTATATTTAGACCACTAACATTTAGGGTGATGAAATATCTACCCTATCTGTTACTGTTTTCTATTTGTTGTCTTTGTTCTCTATTCCTATTTTTGTTTTCTACTTTTTCCATTTTTTGTGGTTATCACTAAGCATATTATATGATTCCATTCCTCTTAGCATATCAACTATACTTTTTTCCCTTTTTTAGTGGTTGCCCTAGAGTCTGCAATGTACATATATAACTAATTCAAGACCACTTTCAAATAATAGTATACTCTTTCACAGAAGAGTCAGATATTCCTAATTCTGTCCCTTATGTCACTGGTGTCATTAATTTCACTTGTACATAAGCTATACATTGCACACACTGTTGCGTTTGCTATCATTTTAAACAAACTTATCTGTTCAATCAAGTAAGAATAGGAAAATAAAAGCTTTTCCTATACACTCATTTCTTCTCTAATGCTCTTCTTTTCTTTATGCAGATCCAAGTTTCTGACCTGTATCACTTTATCTCTGAAGAACTTTTCTTGTTTTAACATTGCTTGCACAGGTCTAACTGGCAACAAATTCCCTCAATTTTTGTCTGAGAAGAGTCTTTTATCACTTTAGAAGGATAATTTTGCAGGCTCCAGAATTCAAGGGTGGTGGGTTTTTTCTCTCAACATTTCAAATATTTCACTCCACTCTCTTGTTGCTTACTTGGGTTTTTAAGAAGTCAGATGTAATACCCATCTTTGCTCTTTAAGTAGGGTGTCTTTTTTTTCCTCCAGCTTCAAGATTTTTTCCATCTTTCATTTTCCACAGTTTGAATATGCCATGCCTGGGTGTAGTTGTGGGTTTTTTTTGTTGTGGTGGTGGTTTTGGTTTTAGTGGGGTTTTTTGGCATTTATGTGAGCTTCCTAGATCCTGGGTTTGTTATCGGACATCAATTTGGGGAAATTCTCAGTCCTTATGATTTGCAGTATTTCTTCTATTCCTCTTTCTTACCATTCTAGTATTCCCCTTATAACTTTTGTACTCATCCCACAGTTCTTGGATAGTCTATGCAATTTTTTAAAATCTTTTTTCTCTTTGCTTTTTAGTTTTAAGAGTTTCCACTGACATAGCAAGTTCAGAGATTATTTCCTGAGCTATGTCTGGTCTACTAATGAATCCATCAAAGGCATGTTTGTTACTGTTACAATGTTTATCTCTAGCATGTTTTATTCTTAGAATTTCCATCTCTCTGCTTACATTACCCATCTGCTCTTTCATGTTGCCTATTTTTTCCATTAGAGTCTTTTTAAAAAAATTATTTATTTATTTATTTATTTGACAGAGAGAGAGAGCACAAGCAGGGGAAGCAGCAGGCAGAGGGAGAGAGAGAAGCAGGCTCCGATGCGGGGCTCAATCCCAGGCCCTGGGATCATGACCTGAGCTGAAGGCAGACGAACCGACTGAGCCACCCAAGCACCCCCATTAGAATCTTTAATATATTGGTCATAGTTGTTTGAAGTCTCAATCTGATAATTTCAACATCCTTACTATATCTGAATCTGGTTCTGATGTTTGCTGTCTCCTCAAATTGTTTTTTTTTTCCTTTTAGTATACTTTGTAATTTTTTGTTGAAACCTGGACATGATATAGTAGGTAAAAGGTAAATAGGCCAATAAATAGGCCTTTAGTGATGTAGTGGTAAGGTGTGGGAGAAGAGGAATTGTTCCATAATCCTATCAGTAGATCTCAGTCTTAATGAGCCTGTGCCCCTGGGATATAAACTTCACAAAAAACTTTCAGTTTTTTCTTCCCCTTTGGTGGGCCAGGATGGCTAGAAGGAGCTGGAGTTAGGTAGTTCCTTTCCCCCAGGTCAATTAGACTCTGATAAAGCCCAACCAAGTTAGGCTCTGGTAACATACTTTCTCTTGAGGGCAGGCCTTGTTAAGAATAGTTTGTGGGACACCTGGGTAGCTCAGTCAGTTGGGCGTCTGTCTTCGGCTCAGGTCATGATCCCAGGCTCCTAGGATCAAGTCCTGCATTGGGCTCCTTGCTCAGCAGGGATCCCGCCTCTCCCTCTGCCTGCTGCTTCTCCTGCTTGTGCTCTGTCTCTCTCCCTCTCTCTGATAAATCTTAAAAAAAAAAAAAAAAGAATAGCTTGCTATGGCCTATTTACAATTGATTCCTTTTCCCCTCCTCCTGCCAGGCGCCTCAGAGAATTTTTCTCCAATCTTCACTGTTAGAACCTGGTAGAGCTCTTAGAAATAAAACTCAAAAAAGTGTAAGGAAGCCTCACTATGACTACACCCTTCTGAAATTTTTGGCTCTCAGACTTGTCTACATTGAGCCTCCAGCAATCCATCAATTAGTTTAGGTTTCCTACCTTGACACTGGTTCCCATAAATGTTTCTGCTCTTGACTTTCTGCTTAGGCAAGTTGTGATTCTCCATGTCTTCTCCAATTGTGGGGGCAGTGATTTGCCCTGTGACCGCACTTTTCAAGAGTTGTTTATTTTCAATTTGTTCACCTTTTTACTTGTCAGGATGGAGTATGACCTTCCAAGCCCCTTACATACAGGACTGGAAACCTAGTAAGCTTCCTCAACTTCGTAAAATACAATTTTAAAAACTCCAGATGAGGTAGACACAATACCTTTCTATGTGCTTTAAGAAGCCCTTTTCCTACCAGAAGGAATAACTGGGCAAGTGACCAGAAGACACTGAAGTCTTGTCAGAGGTGTTCACCACGAGCAAGTCCCAGAGCTCCAAGGCAGCTGTACCTTTAGAAACCAAAAATAAACAAATTACCCTTATTTCTAAGGTTTAATCAGAAGTCTCAAGGAACCTACAAGTGCCAACAGGAAAGCCTTCAAGTTGCTAGACAGTAGAGTTCATTTATCAACATACTTAATAAACATAACATGTATAACTGGCAGTTACATGACCTCTTCCTCCCTCCATAAATGGGGGGGGAAAGGTGTTTAACTGTAGAGAGGAACCTGACAAACTGGCCTTTCTAAAAAAGGCATCCAGACTTCTGGGGAAGATGGTCGAATAGGAGGATCCTAAGCTCACCTCATCCCACAGATACAACCAGATAACACTCACATCAGTGTAAATATCCCAGAAAACAACATGAAGACTGACAGAACTCTCCACAACTAAATAAAGAGAAGAGGCCACATCAAAGAGGGTAGTAAGGACAAAGATACAGTCCAGAGCTAAAGGGAACCTCCACACTGTCCAATGGAGGGAGGGACACCACAGGTGCAGAAGGAGTGAAACAGACTCACATCAGGGATTCCACAGGGGAAAGAAGAATCCCCATAACATTTGGCTCGAAAACCAGAGGGGCTGAAGAGTGAGTTCTTAAAACCAGCAGGACTTAAAACCTGGAACTTTAAAAATCAGTGGGCTCAGCTCAGGGAGAGCTGGGAGGGCAAGAGGAAACTGAGTCCCTGTTCTTAAGGAGACAGTACAACAACAGCCCCACAGAGATACGGCATAGAAGCAGCAGCTTGAAAATCCCCTGGGGTATACAGGACGGAGATCTGTTTGCTAATTTCAGAGCACGCACTGTAGGTGCAGGGATCCTTGGGAGACTTGGAAGCAGGGGGAGGGAGAACAGACAACAAATGAGCCACTTCCCTCCCCTGCCTCCCACCCTACCAACACTAACTAACTAACTTGGTAAAAATGAGCCCCACCCTGCATTCTCCTGCAGACATGCCCCCTCCAGATCTCCTTCCACAGCAGACCAGCATAAACCTTGCTGACAGCTTGTGTGGATCCGCCCCCTTTAATACACTCTTGGCCTGATCCACCTAAAGCAATGCCACAAGCCTGGCAGTGTGCAAGCAGCCCCAACAGGGGCCAGTACCACTCCAGAGTGACTCCTGCCCCAGAGAGAGGGAAGGAGAACTACACACACCAGTCAGACTGTGGCTCCAGCAGAGCTGGGGGCAGACAACTAGTCTGACTACAAGCTCAAGCCACCAACAAAAGCCTCTCAGGGGACAAAACAGAAAGAGCCCTGCAGTTCGGTGCTACTGCATCCATGGCAAACACCTGGTCTGACACAACTCAAGCCCAAGGGGGCCCAGACTGGCCCACTAACAGCACAGGAACCAAACACTTCCCACAATAAGCAAAGAGAGCAGCTACAGATGACTCAACTGAAGGCAACATCAGCTCAGCCACAACAGCAGGGCACGCACAACACATATGGGAGACACCCCTGAGGTGCCAGGTTCTAATGAACCGGAGACACTGCATGACAGGGCAGTACAAGACCTCTTCATAAGGCCACTACTTTCAAGAGCAGGAGACATAGCTGACTTTCCTAAAACACAGAAACAGACAAGGATACTTAGATAAAATGAGGAGACACAGCAATATGTCCCAAATGAAAGAAGAGGACAAAAGCACAGCAAGACACCTAAACAAAACATAGGTAAATAATATGCCTGATAGAGTATTTAAAATAATGATCATAAAGATACTCACTGGACTTGAGATGAGCAGAGGACATCAGTGAGACTCTTTACAACAAGACAGAAAACAAAAAAGAAACAATCAGAGATGAAGAAATCAACAAATGAAATTAAAAATACACTAAAGAGGAATAGACTTGAGAAAGTAGAAAAACAGATCAGCGACCTGGAGGGCAGACTAATGAAAGCAACCCAACTGAATAGGTGAGAGGGAAAAAAATGATACAAAATGAAAACAGACTTAGGGAACTCAGAGACACGATCAAGCATAATAACATTCTCATTACAGGGACGTCAGAAGGAGAAAAGAGAGAAAAGGGGGAAGAAAATTTATTTGAAGAAATAGCTGAAAACTTCCCAAATCTGGGGAAGGAAACAGAAATCCAGATCCAGGAGGCACAGAGAGTCCCCAACAAAACCAACACAAGGAGGTCCACACCAAGACACACAGTAATTAAAATGGTAAAAAGTAGTGATAAAGAAAGAATTTTAAAAGCAGAGAAAATAGTTGCTTGCAAGGGAAATCCCATAAAGTTATCAGCTAATATTTCAGCAGAAACTTCACAGGCCTGAAGGCAATAGCATGATATATTCAAAGTGCTAAAAGAAAAAAACACTCCAGGGCCCCTGGGTGGCTCAGATGGTTAAGCGTCTGCCTTCGGCTCAGGTCATGATCCCAGGGTGCTGGGATCGAGTCCCACATCGGGCTCCCTGCTCCTTGGGAGCCTGCTTCTCCCTCTGCCTCTCTCTCTCTCTCTCTGTCTCTCATGTATAAATAAATAAAATCTTTAGAAAAAAAGAAAAAAACTCCAATCAAAAGACATAGGGTGATGGAATGGATAAAAAAGCAAGACCCATCTACATGCTGCCTACAAAAGTCTCCTTTTAGACCTAGAAACATATGCAGATTGAAAGTGAAGGAATGGAGAAGAATTTAACATGCAAACAGATGTGAAAAAGGACCAAGTAGCAATACTTATACCAGATAAAGACTTTAAACCAAAGACTGTAACAATAAGATACAAAGAAGGACAGGGGATAGTCCAACAAGAAGATATAACAATTATAAATATTTATGCACCAAACATGGGAGCACCCAAATACATAAAGCAGTTAATAACAAACAAAAGGGAAGTAACTGATAGTAATACAATAATAGGAGGGACTTTAACACCCCACTTACATCAATGGAAAGATCATCTAAATGGAAATACAAGGAAACAGTGGCTTTGAATGACACACTGGAACAGATGTATCTAACATATATTCAGGACATTCCATCCTAAGACAGCAGAATATATATTCTTTTCAAGTGCACATGGAACATTCTCCTTAAGAGATCCCATATTAGGCCACAAATGAAGTCTCAACAAATTCAAAGAGATCGAAATCATACCATGCATCTTATCTAACCACAACACTATGAAAATAAAAATCAACCACAACAAAAAATCATGGAGGTTAAATAACATGCTACTAAACAATGAATGGATTAACCAAAAAATCAGGAGATCAAAAAAATATATGGAGACAAATGAAAATGAAAAAACAACAGTCCAAATCTTTGGGATGCAGCAAAAGCTGTATGAAGGAAGTTTATAGCAGTACAGGTGACTTCAAGAAGAAAAATCTCCAAGAACCTAACCATATCCCTAAAGGAGTTAGAAAAAGAACAAAAAAGCCAAAACCAGTAGAAGGAAGGCAAAAATAAAGATTAGAGCAGAAATAAAACAGATACTTAAAAAACAATAAAACAGATCAATGAAACCAGGAGGGTTTAAAATAAAATAAATATTTTATTTATGTATTTGTCAGAGAGTGAGCAAGAGCACGTGCATGCATAAGCAAGGGAAGTGGCAGGCAAAGGGAGAAGCAGGCTCCCCACTGAGCAAGGAGCCCAATGTATGACTCGATCCCAGGACCCTGGGATCATGACCTGAGCCAAAGGCAGACACTTAAATGACTGAGCCACCGAGGCATCCCAATCTATTGCATTTCTATACACTAATAATGAAGCAGCTGAAAGAGAAATGAAGAAAACAATCCCACTTACAGTTACACCAAAAATAATAAAACACCAAGGAATAAACTTAACTCAAGGGGTGAAAGACCTGTACTCTGAAAACTATAAAACCAAAGAAACTGAAGACAATACAAACATGGAAAGATACTCCACACTCATGGATTAGAAGAACAAAAATTGTTAAAATGTCCATACTACCCAAAGCAATCTACAGATTTAATGCAATTCCTATCAAAATACCAACAGCATTTTTCATAGAACTAGAACCAACAATCCTAAAATTTGTATAGAACCACAGAAAACCCCAAATAGCCAAAGCAGTCTTGAAAAAGAAAAATACAACTGGAGGTATCACAATTCCAGATTTCAAGTTATCCTACAAAGCTGTAGTAATCCAAAGAGAGTATGGTAGTGGCACAAAAACAGACACATAAGTCAATGAAACAGGATAAAGAACCCAGAAACAAACCCATACCGATAAGGTCAATTAATCTTCCACAAAGGAAGGAAGAATATGCAATAGAAAAAAAAAAAATCTTTCTTCAAAAAATGATGTTCAACTGGACAGCTAAATGCAAAAAGAATGAAACTGGACCACTTTCTTACACCATATACAAATATAAATTCAAAATAGATTAAAGACCTGAATGTGAGACCTGAAACCATAAAAATCGTAGAAGAAAGAACAGGTAGTAATCTCTATGACACTGGCCAAAGCAACATTTTTCTAGATATATCTCCTGAGGCAAGGGAAACAAAAGCAAAATAAACTATTGGGATTTAATCAAAATAAAAAGGTTCTGCACAACAAAGGAATCAATTTAAAAAACTAATAATCTACTGAATGGGAGAAGACATCTGCAATGACAAATCCAATAAAGGGTTGGTATCCAAAATACATAAAGAACTTATACAACTCAACACCAGAAAAACCAAATAATACAATTAAAATTGGGCAGAAGACATAAACAGGCATTTCTCCAAAGAAGACATACAGATGGCCAACAGACACATGAAAAGATGCTCAACATCATTCATCATCAGGGAAATGCAAATCAAAATCACAATAAGGCATCACCTCACACCTGTCAGAATGGCTAAAATAAAAAACACAAAAAACAACAAGTGTTGGCAAGGATGTGGAGAAAAGAACCTACCCTGTGGGTAGGAATGCAAACTGGTGTCGCCACTGTGGAAAACAGTATGGAGGTTCCTCAAAAAAAAACCTAAAAATAGAATTATCATATGATCCAGTTATTGCACC